CAGAGGTGACATGCAACTCATTCCGCAGGGCAAAAATGCAAGCAGAGCCTCGAGTTACAGGTGAAGGTGAAATTCAGTTAATGCAATCAAAATCTGTGTGATCTCTGCATTTTCAGTACGGTTCAGGCTGTGAAACTCCTCCGTGAGAGTTTACAATGATTTACTGCTTCTTGTAATTCAAGAATGGTAACACAAGTTCTAATCAACTTTCCGAATTAGCACAGTTGTATGCTGCCCAGTCATGAACTTCCAAAAGGGCCGGAAGGTATGTTTATCACATAAATAATACTTTCTGCAGATACGGATTTTGGAAAATGCAACCGCTGAATTTGTTTTCTCAACCAAACCTCAGTGAAGAAGTAGAGAACACAAAGCGGGAGCTCAACACAGACGTCTAAGCAAACTGGATCACCTGGCAACATCAGGGCACTTCCTGCCCGAGCCGTAACCAGGAAAGGATCGAGGCACATCCAGGACCCAGCTCCAAAAATCCTCTTCCCTGATCTGACTCCCAGGAGCACTGCTGGGCAGCCGGAAAAATGTTGCCAGGGGTCACCCTGACCTTGGGGGTGCAAACTCCAGGCTATCCCCTCAGTACCCACTTAGACCTCAGCCTTGGAGTCTGCTCACCCACAGGCCTGAGATGGGGCCCAGCTAACCTGGGACCCAGAGGTTTATGGCTCTACTGCTCTATTCAAAGAGCTGATTTGATCCGCCCTGTCTGTACTCACAACTCTGTGCTCCAGAACCGCACTACTCCAAAGAGTGTGCATGTGTGTGTGTGCGTGTGTGTGTGCATGCATGTGTGTGTGTTTGTCCAAGGGAGTGCTGGCAGAAGCCTTACAGGTGACTATAATTTCCCACAATAAAGTCACAACAGAGTTGAGCCTTGTTGAGTTTGATGGGTAAGTGATGAAGGCATTAAGGAAGCCATCAGAGAAATTTCATTAAAATAAAATTTCATTAAAGCAAAATGCCTTTTTGGATGCCCGATTGAACACAATAAAGAGTCCCGCCTGTTACTGTCTCCTGCAAGTTCACAAATCAGGGCCAGGGTGATGGGGATGCACTGTGCTCCTTCCAGGGCAGTTCTGTGTACCCAGGACCGCTTCCTTCCACCAGAGACACCCACGCAGCGTGTGGTCTGAACAGCATCGAGCACAGGCGGCTTCTCCTCCATGCCCCACAGTTTCCCTCAAACTTTCTCAAGGCACAGTGTACATCCCCACAAGGCCCACGGCAGTCACACAAAACATTAAAGTCTGACTTCCGGTAGCTGCTTAGCTTCACTTTCCATACATAAAAATGCTCCATCAAGCCCTCAGTGATGACCTTTCCAAGTACCTGCAAATACTTATCTTGGCCCCTCCAATTCTTATCCCCCCCACACTTAATGCACTCTTCTTATTCCTTCTCAGGTCACCCCCATCTTTTCATTCTCTGCTAAGTGAACTCCAGGCAGTTTGTTTTTATCTTTATAAAATAATTACCTCCCCTCAAAGGTATGCAATTTACTTCCGTCTTCTCAATGATACCTTTTTGAGGCAAGTATTTTCACTCATTTGTCAGACAAAAAAACTCTCTGTTGCTGTCACCAATTATCCAAGACTGGCTAATTTATGAGGAATAGCAGTGCTGGCTCACCACTTTGGAGGCAATGAAGCCCAAGAGCAGGCACAGGCATTGGCGAGGACCTTGTTGTTGCCCTGAGAAACAGCAGAGGGGTCCCGTCCCATGGTGACACAGGGCGTGGGGACAGCGGTTTTTTCCTCTTCTTGCAAGTCACTAATGCCATCGCGGGCACCCACGTGCATGACCTCACCTCATCCCCATTCCTTCCCCACCTCCAAATGCCACTAATGGGAACCTGAGGGTTATACTTCCAACACCAGGACCCGGGGGCGCACTGACAAGGGGACGACACCTCGCCCCAAGAGCCTTAGCCCACCCCACCCCGGCGGTGCTTCCAAGCACACAGAGACCAACGCCATTCTGACACAGATCTCCCAGCTCAAAAACCAACACCCCGCAGCCTTCTGCAGACTGAGTGCCACACTTCCAGGGAAGCGGCCTGTGACGTCCTGTGCACTGCTGAATCAGGCTGAGTCAGGGATCACCGAAAGCCGAGGATGAGTTTCACTCAGCCTGCTACTAAGACAGGCAGCCTTTGAACAAACGCATTTCTAATCTGCACTTGGTCCTTTCCAATAAAGTGAAGCTTTCTTCCTCTGTCTTTCTGGTACTGGGGACTGAATCCAGGGACTATGCACTGAGATATTTTCACAGTTTATATATATATATATATATATATATATATATATATATATATATATTGTTGTTGTTGTTGTTGTTTTTTGTTTTTTGAGACAGGATCTTGCTAAATTCCTCAGATCGGGCTTGAATTTGTGATCTTCCTGCCTCAGCCTCTCAGAGTGCTAGGATTACAGGCATTAGTATTTTAAAGCTCTTTATCCCTTAAGAAAACCTACTTAGCTGTATTTTTCTGCTTTTTATAAAAGCTCAATTCAAGGACAGAGAGGACTGAAGGACATCTTTCCTGGGACAATGCTTTTTTTTCTTTCTGTTTTTGTCTTTTTGAGACAGGGTCTCTCTATGCGGTTCAGGCTGGCCTTGGGCTCACTCTGTAGCCTATGCTGGTCTCGAACTCGAAAGGATCCTCCTACTTCAGCCTCCTGAGTGGCTAGGAAGCCACCACGCCTGGCTTGGGACAATGCTTTTGCACCTATCGACCCAAGCTGAAGACCCTGCAGCCAGGCGGAACTTCCCCCCACAGTTTATGTCTCAAACAAGAGGCACTGGCGGTGCCTCCCTCAGCAAATCTCCTTGCTCCCCGGAGCACACCACTGAGTCTCAATCAGTTTCCATCCCAGCAACCAGCAACGAAGAAGCCTGCTGGGCTTGACCATGTGCGTGTCTGTCCCTCTGCTCCACAAGGACTCAGCAGTGGCTGTGCTTTGGTACTACGAGTGTCTCTGAGGAAACTCAATATATCCTGAAGATTTTCTTTTTCTTTCCTTTGTTTTATTCTTGGTATTGGGAATGGAACTCACGGCCTCACACTTGCCAGGCAGGTGCTTATGATGTTAAACTAAATCGCTGGCAGGCTGAAGTTTTTATATTCCAGGAAAAGCTACTTGTATGAATCTCTCGAATTTATAAAAAGATATTTTATCTTGAGGGCAAAAAACCAAACCTATTAACAGTGCTGTAACCACTTGAACTTTGTAAAGTGACTCAAAAAGGAACCATGCTTTGTACCCCAAGTTCGGTGGAGAAGAAAAATCCTGTGTCAGAACCACAAGGATTAACAATCATGAGCCTAAGCAAGAGAATAAGTTAGCAGAATGATCCACAGCATGAGTTTCTTGATCGTGCCCCTGACACAAAATGCTACAGTTTTCCTCACTCCTCTGGGAGTGAAGCGTAGAGGACTGCAGGGCCCCCTCAATTACTCCATTACACAGATACGATCCATGGAAAACTCTTCTTAGCGCTAAAGGAAAAGCTGCTTCTTAGATCAATTTTTCCAGAATGGGACACTGGAAAAAAACGCACTCTCGAAAGATTACAGAAGGTCTTGAAGCTTTACCGTGCAGCTCAACTGCAAGTACACTACTGAATCATCTGTTTCTAGAATTAACATCTAAATCAGTGAGTCAACACTTTGATGGAGGAAATTAACTGAAATCCATACCAGCAAATGTAGGAAATGGATCTGTGTGTGGCAAACCTTATAAATTCCTGGGAAATCCACGTCAGTGTTTGTAATGATTAAAATTCTCTCTGAGTCAGTCAATGACAGACCAAGTAACTTTTGGTATAAGAACTATTTTTTAAATGTATTTTTCCTATGTTCCTGCCATTGTTTAGTGACATACTCCTTGCTCCTGCCCTCACATCCAACCATCAGTACAAAATGAATTTGAACCTACATCTGCAAGAACAGCACCAGACACACAGGTGTATTGTGCAAAACACAACTAGGATGACGACAGGGTTGCCTCACCAAGAAAGGGCGGGGGGGAGTGAGTGGGGAACATGGGAAACCAGGCTGGCTTCACGCAGCTGTCAGGGAGAAAGAACAGGAAGATGACTCCACACGCCTCCAAGCTGCCCCGGTGGATCGATGGTGGCAGCCCCGGAAAAGGGGTGTCCTGGATCTCCCCCCACTACTCAGGCAGAGGCTACAGGCCTGAAGTGTGAGCTCTTTGAAAGAAGTTGCCACATCTGCAACTGGATTACCTTGCTAAAAGAGCAGGCCATGCTGCCCTGGGGCCACAGAGGCCTGCTCGGTAGTGGGCAGCAGCGCTCAGCCCCTGCCTGCCACTCCACACAGCTCAGGGAACAAAGCAGTCGCCCCTCCTGTATGCCACCCACAAGCTGTGTGGTCCCATCTATCAACTTGTTCCTTCTAAACATCTCTGACAGAAACCGTTCAATAGCCACCACCAAGAAAGGGGAAGTTTTTCATCTTCTTTACCAAAAGAAGAACAGAAGACTAGGCCCCTTTATATCACAGAACCTCAATGTCCATCACCATGTGCATTTTAAAAGCTAGCCATCACTCAAGCCAGAGGGGCATGTAAAATCAGTCCACTCACTGGGTACAGAATCTGAATTTCCACCACGTGATGTGGCCATAAGCTATGCAAATAGGGATGATAAACTCCACAGCCAGGATATTAAAGGAAAGTTGATTTTCTAAGACTCCAATTTTTTTGATCCTATCATGGAAAGTGTTGGGTATTTCTTCTTAATATAAAATCAACTTTTACTTGTAATGGTACCATTCTAGGGACAGTGTGAATGTTTTTAGTAATTTAATCTTCCATTCATGATGGAAATAATTTTGTATTTAGAAAGTAGGTCCAAGTAATTTTCCATCGTTCTAAGAAAGTAAAGGCACATCTTGGGTGTGAGAGACCAACATCCCACAGCTTTGGATGTTTAGGACCGGATGTGTTCAAAGGTGTGCTTACCTCCACATCGCAGGCATACTCTGAGCCGTCCAAAAGGACCACCTTGCACTGCATACTTTTGGGCTTTTTGACAATCTTTAGTGGAGACCGGGAGAGTTTACTGCTGGATGACTTCTGAGAAAGTTTATCGTCTTCAAATTGCTGGTACTCAAGCTGTTTTGCAGCTGCGGCGGCAAACTCCTGCTCCTTGTCAGTGACCTGGGAAGAGCAAACAATGAACAGTGTATGTTGCAAGACAGGAAATAAACACTGTATTGTTTAGGTAACACACAGCGCTCGGGAAGCAGTCTGCTTTCTCGTTTTGTAGGAGATGGAGGTACTAAACGGGGTATTAGGAGTGGATATCCACGTCCAAATCCGTGTAATCTTAAATCTCAACTGAGCAACGCATGCCATTTAAATGAATCAGTAGGGCCATATTGAAGCTTGACTCCAGGATTTAATTTAAAATCACTGAGTTAGCAAATGTCATCAAAGTTTCACTAAGCAAAGAAAACTGACTCCTGGATTTTTAAAGACATCACAGTCCTCTGAAATAAATCATCTGGATTTGTGTCTCACGTAGTCTTATTTTCATAATTCATTGGATTTTTCTATATTCCTCGACTTGTTATAGCCATCCCATCCATATGCTTACAGGTGTCTTAGAAAGTTCAAGGCTTACGGAGCTTCAAGTGTTAATCTTTTTAGTAATATTAAATGGTTAAGGTTAGCTCTCCCTCACTTCAATGAAGTCGGTAGCGCTGAAATTCATCACAAAGTAATTCCTCCAGTCTGCTTCTCTTCATGGTAATGAGCTAGTAACAGAACAGATCAGATCTGTCCAAAAGCTTTAATCTGCTTTTGAATTTCAAGAGCCTGGTCCAGCGCAAACTCAAAACTTCAGAGGCCCCTCTGGACCAGTCTCCAGGACTCCTACTGTAAATCCCCCATGGCCGGACTACCTTTCCTGCTCGTGTGAAAATAGGCACCGACAGTCCACAGCGAGACACACTAAATCAGAAGAAACACGACATTTATTCCTAGACCACAGCACACTATCCACCTGGTGCTAAAAGATTCCTGGGCTTTTAAGTAAAGACAGTACTCATGGTTTATTATTTCAGCTATTCTTTTCTACTAGTCACTGCAACTTTATAAAACAAAGTCTTATTTGGTGTATTCATTTTGGATTTCAGTTATACATTTCTGCTTGTTCCACTTCCATCCACAGGCTCTCACGGTTCTTTCCTCCACTACCACACCCAGGAACTCTAGATAATGACTTGGGAGGTTCTTATGAATAAAAGACCAATCTGCTGTGCTTACGAGAGCAAACCAAGAGAAAACTGAGTAACCAAAAACCGGTATAGGTGGGAAAGCAAGCTTCAGTGAAAGCAAGCCAATAAATGAAAGAAAACCTGTCCTGGGAACTTGGCCCGACCTTTCCGACCAGCACTCTTTCTGTATCAAGCCATTAAAATAAGAGCTAGAAGAAATCAACTGAACTATGATTAAGGCTGCCCTTGAGGTAGATTAAGGAGAGGTCTGGTAACCTTGGACTTACAGATCAATAACCATAATGCCTGTTCGTAGATGCATTGCAAGTTATATAAGATTTAAGCACATTTAGTCACCTCTTTACAGGCAAGGTCAATTGAAGCTATATTTTACTTAAATTTTAACTGAAGTCAACTTTTTCTATGCATTCAGAACCATGAAATTTCTTTCTTATACTAAATAAGAGTCTGTTCTAGAGTAAGGGTTACTGAAATGTCAACTCCAGAGCAATTTAAATCACATCATAGGATGAGTCTCATTTCTAGGAGTGTCCGGATGATGACTCTACCGCTGTGGCTCCAACACCACATGTTAAAAGCAACTTCACCAGCTCCAGAAGAGCCAAGTACCCCACTGACACGTCAGTTGTAGATCGTGATGCAGTGTAATCAAAAAGCATCAGCACCAACCGTTTCGGCAAATCCTCATTCCAGTATAACCCTCCTAGCAGCTGGGATGTGGGTACCACTACTCCCACTGCAGATGAACCCTGAACCCTAGGAAATTCTCTCCAGATCAAAAATTAAAGAGACCTGGAACTCAAAACTTCAGCCAAACCTGCATTTCAGGAATCACCGTGTACCAAAGCATAGGACATTTTACCTGCAGCCCAACGGGCCTCCTTTCCTATGCGCACAGAATTCTACAGAAGACTCCTAAAAATGATCTTTCCTGCATTCTTCATCTTGTAGATGAGCAACATGAGGCCTGAGAGCCCAAGAGTGACCGGTGAAGGTTGGGAAGAACCAGGATCAACTTCGGTCTCTGCCCTGGGTGGCAGGCATCTCTCCCTTAGAGGGTCAGTAGCATTTCCCTTGTGTGGTCTCAGACACTTGACTGTAGGACACACAGCACAGTGACACAGCACCCAGCAACACTCGGGTTCAGCACTGGACCAACCACATGCAACGCCGGTGGTCCCACAAGATAATGGGATGAACCTGAAGAATTCTTATGTGCTGGCGACATCACAGCCATTATAATGTCACAGTGCAATGCCCTGCTCCTTATCTGTGGCTGTGCTGTGCGCTGTACAGAAGAACAATGCATACATGTATGTCAAGTGTATAATCCTTGATAATGAAAATAAACACTGATGCTGTTGCTTTATGTATTAATGGACTGTATTTCTTAAGGTTAGAGAAATGGCTACTTAAGAAAGTGTGCTATAAATCAGTCCCCAAAGCAATAGTCTCATATGCTTAGGGATAGGGCCAGGGTTATCCTGCCTCTGGATTGCATTTGTTTCTTGTTTTGTACCTAATCTCATGTGGTTTTGTGCAGTGCAGTGCTAGGAGAAGTCACTATAGTTTACACTGAGTGGTGGGTAAGGCATCTAGTTGTGTAGCAGCAGGCCCCACCATTGAGGTGTCAGCACCTATGGGTGACTGTCACAGCTGACAGAATCGCCCAACGGTGGGTTTCTCAAGGTGCCTCGTCATCCAGAGACACCCAACTGTGTGCCTACTGCCGCCCAGACACAGGCAGTCTCTTTCTTTAGCACCTTCATTTGGATTTTATTCCTTTTAGAATCAAGGGCAAGAGAATGAAGAAAAGCCAAAAGTGTCGCAATTTAAGTGAAAGAAAACCAACAAGATTAAACAGTACATCATGATGCCACAAAAAGAAAAGCCAAAAGAAAAACGATGCCAACAGCAGACCTTTAGAGTTTGTCTGCCAGGCAGGGATGGTGTCCCCAGATTGCAACACAAAACTCTGGAGATCAAACAGGGCCACCATTAATAAAGCAGAAATAAATGTTATTAATACTGCCCACAGGCAGATCTTGCAGATGCTATGGGAAAAGAAATAAAGTAACCTGGTTACAATAAGCACAGCACTGGAGGTCATGACACCATGTCGTGACTTTCAGAGATTTTTCACTACTATGTGGATTTCATGTCTCTTAATATCTCCTAGAAGTTCTAGCTCCCCACAAATACTTTTAACCTTTAAGAGATCAACCATTCCAGGGACCCCGGGTTCTGGCAGCACATCCAAGTTAGTAATCTACAACACGCTAATTCCTAGATTGAAGTTTTTAGACCAAAGAAATTTCCACATGGACCCACTGGAAGTCTGGGCATAAACCATAACTTTATTTTTAAAACAGAATTTTTCTGGTTTGGGGCCTCCCCCATGCTTAGCACTGGCTCCACTGCTGCCAGTCCTTTTGACAACTGGAAAGGTATGGAAAATAGAGCTGAAAATAAACTGCATGCAGGGGGCGGAGACCCACTTGAACATCATCTAAGCAGATGTTACTGCTAGGGTCAGGAGGACGCTTGGGGAAAATAAAAGCATCCCCAACACTTATTTAAAGAAAACCAGGACCGGAAGCAGAGTAAAAGCTGCCAGGAAGCCGTCTCCCCTTCCAGTGAATCCAGACAGGCCAAGGCACCTCTGGCCCAGATTTTGGAGCTAGTTTAAAGGCCTCAAAGGAAGGAGTGACCGGGCAAAGCTGCCAAGTGTCATGGGTTGCGATGCCCTAAAATCACAGCAGTTTTCTCTGTCTGGGACGGCCAGGACCCCTGAGCTGCTCCTCAGCTCGAGATCCACATCTGCTGGGCACATGCCCTGGGAGCCCCTCCACCTCCTCCTCCTCTTTGGGGTGCTCACCTCCCTGTGCACCGGGGTGCTGTGTGCTGCAGCGCCTTCGAACTGCTCCAGTGCCTGGGGCTCCGCGCTCGTGCTGGGGGGCTCCTCGCCCTGCACCACTGCGTCCCCCTGCGCCCCCGCCTCCTCCTGGGGCGCAGCCTCCTGCTCAGGCTTGGATTCTGAGTCTGATCCAGATTCGGTCGTCATGGTTGATTGTTCTGGAAGCAGAAAACAAGGTCAGTGCCTGGTGTCACAGGTACAAAGACCTCGACTTCCAAGAGCGTGTGCGAGAGCCCTAACCAGCCAGCAGCAGCTGCCATTAGGGACCAGGGGAGCCCAGCACCCAGTGACTCGCTGGGGACCCAGCGGCTGAAGTCGAGCTGTCATGATTACACCTGATGTCTATTAGGTTTCTGCTGCAGATCATTATGAAACGACATTTCCAAAACATCACAATAATTAAATGAATTGTGTTTAATTTCACGAAAGTAAACTTGCCATACATGCAGATGGATAAATCCCTGGGACATGAGAAAAAATGATGGATGGATTCCTCACGTCCCTCCTGTTCCTCCTCTCATCTTCCCACTCCTGAACCTATGGATTCCTCTGGGAACCAATGCTTCTTGCATCTGATTTCCCCTAATTCTCTTTTTCTCCTTTTGAATTTGGAACCATAACTGCAGTAGAGCTTTCTGGCAGGGTGGGGGCTCTGTCTCCCACTGGGCAAGCGCTGGGCACCTCCACTGGGCAGCACCCCCTCCTCCTCTCCCTTCAAAATTAATTCTCATCTTCTCTCAGGCTTCCTCCTGCTTTCCTAAACACTACAAATGAGTTTACTCAGATCTCCAAAGGAGCTCTCACGAAGCTCTCAGTGTATCTTCCTTAGCTAGCCTTGCCTCCTAGAATGCCCCTAACTTACAAGCACCATCTTCCAGCCATGTGCTGGTCCGGAGGGGCCTCGTGCCTCGGGTTTCACAGGCCCTGATGTGAAAACCAAATAGGTTTGTTCCATAAGAACTGACTTCCTGCTGCTGCTTTTTTCCTTACTATTAGACATAGTGCTGTGTCTGGAAGCAGACTTCTGTACCAGGCATTAAGACAGCTACGATGCCAAGTATACATGGTGACATTTTAAGTCACATCTTATGTACGCTTGGTAAACATCTCAAAAAACAAATGCCATAGACTGTCTCTTTCTCATGCTAATTTTATGGTGAAAATATCACAGAAGCAAGAGGTTAGTAAGGAAGAGAATAGAACACGTGGTGGTAGAATATAGAACTATGCAAAATACAATCAGTAATGATAGCAAAGTCGTCATTCTATTTCTTCCCCTGCAACACACAGAAGGAGGAGATTAATGACTCAAAGGGTACAGGATATCACCAACAGTAACCAATGCCACCTCAGTGCTTCCTCCTGAGGATACTGTTCTCAGTCCTGCACTCCTCCTCCTGTTGACTAACAGATACAGCAACTGGGCATGCAGAGAGAGGCCGGCAGCATGGGTAAATATCAAGCCCAAACCCATAGCCAGAGCGCAACCCAAATAAAACCAACATATTTTCTTCCTTTCCTCTTATGTTTCATGCTGGACTCTCATGCAAATCCTGAAAGTAAGCATTGATTTCCTTGCAGTTTTTGGAAGGGGAATGATCAATTTTAATATTCAGTTGAGACCACCACATACTGAGGACCAGATGTAAGACACTGAAAATGGGCAAAGATGGCAGATAGATAACAGCTGGCTACACAGGCTCCCTGAGACAGTCAACTTAGAATTCAACATAATACAGCATGGGGAGCCCCGAACAGAGGGAGATGAATTCTCTCATCCCAAGAAGAAACGGATGTGAGAAGAACCAATGAAACATACAGTCCTGGTGCTATTATTGGAATAGCTAAAGATTCAGTGCTCCCACTGCAGCGGGAGACTTGCCGAGCCATCCGAGGTCCCACTGCTTCAACTCACTGAAGATGCAGTCACACTGAGGTCGGGGGTCGGCCAGCCGAACACAGAGCTGAGCTGGCGGGGAGCCTACATCCACCTGTGGTGAGTGATGGGAATGGAGCCATTCCACAGAAAGGGGGGCCCCAGCGGATGACATTCTGGGACCAGACAGGACTGGCAAGTACAAGGGGAAGCAGTGACTTCAGTCAGTTGTTCCCTTCCCAAATGGGATTGGTGGAGTGAGCTAGGCCTGGGTCACGTGACCTGGCTGATACCCTATAGGTTATCTGAAATCAAGTCTCTATGGTGGTAGCACACACTAACCCAGTGCAGGCCTCAGCAGCTTGACTGATCTGGAGGGAAGGGGCCAGACTACGCTGCCCCTGTTTGCAACTCACTAACACCCTGCAGTGGGAAGAGTCATCTAGCCAGCGTGCTTCAAGGAGAATTGTAACCAACAAAGAAAGAAACTGGGGCTTCCTGGAAGAAACAAAAAAGATGGGAAGAGGAAGCAACAACAAAAAGTCCCCAAGTCCCAACCCTGAGAATACTGACCCGGGACAGGTAAATACAAAGGAGAATGAGAACAGCAAACAAGCAATATCAGACACGGCACCAGTGGACATAAAAAGATATCTTTGAGACCTCATAGATGAGTTCAAAAGTGAAATATTTTGCCAAGTTAAGCAAGATATAGTAAGATTAATAAAAGAGATGCTGAGAAATCCTCAAGCAGACACAGACAGAACAAGGGAGGAACTCAAACAAAGGAGAGAACCATTTGATCAAGAATATAAACAAAATATAGAATATATGAAGCAGATTCAAAGAGATTACTGGAAATTAAAAATTCTATGGAAAGATGGCAAATCTGCTTGAAAGAAACGAAGGATAGATTATCCAAACTGGAGGACAGTTTTGCAATGTGTGATTATGAAAGAAAAAATGTTTAAAAATAACAAGGAAACAAGCAGTAACAATACAAAGACTAGAAGACAACAAGAGGATCTACAACTTGAGAATAAAGAATGTGAATGAAGAAGCCGGGTACAAACAAAGGAAATACAAAGGCTATTCACAGAAATAATTAAGGAAAACTTCCTAAACATAGGAAAAGGAAATGATATTCTGATGTATGAGGCATACAGAACTCCAGCCACCTACAGCCAAAACAGAGCTACACCCAGGCATATAATAATCAAGATTCCAGAAATTGAATATAAAACCAGAATATTAAAAGCTGTTAGAGACAAGAAACAGATAACCTATAAAGGAAGGCCCATCAGAATCATGGCAGACTTCTCGACACAAACCATCAAGTCAAGAAGAGCCTGGAGCAAAATATTCCAAGCCCAGAAAGAAAATAACCTCCAGCCCAGACTGATATACCTTGATAAACTGTCTCTAGAAATTAATGGAGAAACAAGATGCTTCCAAGACAAAGAGGAACTTGGGAAATTAGCAACCACTAATCCAACTCTACAGAGAATCCTGCAGGGCATTCTAGAGAGCGAGAAAAGTACTAGGATTCCAGGAACAGTGGCAGAGAGGCCTCAATGAATGGAGCAGAAAATAGAATGAAGAAGACAAGCAGACAATTAATGGCAAAAAAAGAGCATAACAGAAATGAGCAGAGAAGGTTGGTTATAATCTCTAATATAGATGGCCTTGATACACTAAATTTAAAAAAAGAATCACACGTGGAATAGATCAGGAGGCAGAGTCCACTGAGATGCTATATATAGGAAATATAATTAACATGAAAAAGAGTACATGGACTGAAAATCAAATATGAGAAAACACTGCTCTATGTGACAGAGAACCAGAGAGTAATAGGGGCAACTAGACATGCATTTGTGGATAGGTTGGAAAGACAGGCTTTAATAGGTAAAGGAGTACAATGAGAGATCAAGTCCAGGAGAGAGAAGGTTCAGGACCACTTAGGTAAATAGCAAGTTGTCCCCAGCCAATTTAAATGCACAGTGTACCCTGGGGAAGTGAAAGGGGAGAGAGAATCTTAAAAAAGATTGCAGAAGATATTGTTAATAGTGCATCAGGATTTAAAACCCACATTACTTGCACCACTCTGCTTAGATTTTTTGATAGATCTGTCCCAGTTTATCTACTTGCATTAGATTGGAGAGCACAGACAAATATCCCCAAAACATCAGGATATAGCACAGGAATCATCTTTAATTTCCTATTAACTTAATCTGAAGCCCTGTATGACTTATACTGTTTTATCATGACTGATCTTAGTTAAATCTGGTTTGTTTGTTCGCTGTTTGGTATCAACAAATTTTATTCAAAACTGATATGATTGACAGTATCAAATCTGAGAGTATAGGCAACTACACTAAAGATGACAAGACTCTACAATATACATTCTGGTTTGATAACTACCTACTTTTGAAGTTGTATACTGTATACAAAGTTATGTTTTTATTAATACTGTTATATACCGATATATTCAATTATACTATGTCTGATGATATAGCCAATTCTATTGAAGATAACAAGAGACGACACAGGAACTATGGTAGAATTCCTTGTACAATGGTCTTGTATGTCTTTTTCATTTCATATGTTTATAGGAATGTTTTGTTTTGTCATGCTTTATTTTGTTTCTCCCTCTAATATAGAAAGTATAGAAATACATGTCAAGACTCATGCATGTGTAGAATCTATAAACAGTTTATGAGAACTGATCTTATGACATATGACGAAATGAACAGGTTCTATGAAAAAAAGACACACTAAAGTACCCAGTGCTGATCCTGGAGTGTCATAATGTGACACCCAGAATAGTATTATTCTTTGTTCAGAGTGATATTAGACTGCTTGGGTTTGTTCAATCTCAACATAATTGAAGATATGGATAACTGCATGTATATTTAAGTATATAGGATTAATAACCATATTTCTAAGTTTTTGTTGGATAGTTGAACAGAACTGTTTGCAGTCTCGCTGTTTGAATTCCCACGTTATATGTTCCACTTTTGTATCTCGAACAACTATTTGTAAAAGGACAGTATGTAAATATTAACTAGTGATTTCTTACTGTTTATTTTTTTTCTGAACGTATGTATTATTTCTACCCATTTTCTGTTTTGTTTAGTCTTTCTTTAAATAAAAATTTTAAAAAAGACACTGAAAAGATGGTGGACCCTAATATCTTCCTCACTTCTCTGCCATCCCCGACTCTGTGAGGCCAACTCCGCATGCCAGCTCAACACATGTCACCCCCACCTTTCTGTCCTTAGA